CTTTAAATAAAAATGTTTAATCACTGCACGGAATTCATCTTTCTCCATTTTTACGACAACTGCTGCCATGCTCACTTCCAACATCTGCCATGTAAACTAAGCGTCGTTTTTGGCTGAAACTTGATATGAGGCAGTTTGAAATAGTGTTACTTCCTGGCCATATACTACACAGTTCATTGTGGCGCTATCTCGCAAAAATTTAGCTGACTTATCGAACGACCCTCGTTAGCCATATATGACAGATTTTGCATAATATTTGCTGCCATAATGAGATCGTGCGATGCTTGATTTCTATCGTATTTTTATTCCATATTGGCTAGCTGTGCTACAAAAAAGTTTAATAAGAAAGCAGCAACTTGGAATATGTTGCGAAATTATGATCAAATCTGCCGGCATACTGCTGGCATACTGCTAGTATTTTATTATTTGAAATTATTTTAGTTATGATATATCTATGTAATATTTCGATATATATATTTCTATAAAGAGTTTTCCAAAGTAAAGAAAATTTAGAATATTTATAATGAATAAAAGGAATAAAAGAATGTAATAGAATTAAAAAGAATAAAAAGATATCAGTACAATATAAAACAATTTAATTGAAATAAAAAAGATATTTAGTAGAAACTTGATATTGCTAAGGAGAATGCAATGAAAATAAATAAATAAATCTAAACTAGATGTATTATTTGTTTTCATTCTTCTATTACATTTTGAGAATTAGCAGCATCAACTTTTTTTATTAAATACTAGACTTTTTATTAAATACTAGATACGTTACAGACGCGAGCTGGGCGCACGCGCTATTTATCTTTTTAAAAAATAAAAATAAAATAACACACCATTAATACACCATTAAATCCTTGTCATAACATAATTATCAAAACGATCTTCACAATGACAGCTGCTTACAAAATAAGCGCAAGAGAAAAATCAACGTTACGAAAAAGCAGCAACAATATTTCGGAAAATGCGAGTATCGATTTGCATGTCTTCTTTTAAAAAAGAATTTTCGATTTAATCCATTTAACAAACAACGAACGTTCTCATGTTCTCATTCTGTTTCTCGAATAGTGAACGTTCTTGTTATTCTTTTCCGAACGACGAGTGTTTTCGTCTTCCTTCTCCGAAAGTGAACGTTTCTCCGATGGCTGGTCTATCTATCACACAACGAGCGTTCTCGTTGTCTCATATCACAACCGAGTGTTCTCGATCGCGCCTATTCTCGCAATTCAACGAGTGTTTTCGTCGTGTGATCAACACGAATTTCCTCTGAGCCTGTCTATTTTGTCGAATAAACTTTATCGTTCGAAGCGTTGTTATTTCGAAATCGCGCGCAATCGATCGAAATATAAATTTCTCGATTGATTTAAATAATCATGAGGCTTATTGTAACAGCCTTCTAAATTTATGCTTATTTGTAAAATTCAACACTCGAACTGACATAAAGTGTCGATCCTCAGCCGATCAAGACGCATACCCAATTGCCTAGCAACACGCTACTTACCAGGGATCTGTCTGGAACTAATTGGATTCTGCTTGAAATATGTTATTAAATACAAAAATCTAAGAGACACAGACAGAGACAGTATTTTTTATATGTGCCCAATCAGAGTTTTAAGGAGTGAAACAACCCCTCAAAGACTAACCTATATTTTTGATTTCCATCAATTATCAACGAAACGGTGAGATACATAAAAAATGTTTTAGACAAAACTTTTATTATTTTTTTATGTACTTTATAACTGTGTATTTAGATTTTTTTTAAATATAATATTTCTGAAACTACCTCACTCCCCATTATTATTTTTATGTAATTTAAATTTTTCCTATGAATAAAAATTGAAGGAAATTTTGCCAAATTCAATCGTATATATAAAATTATTTTATAAAATCGCATTTTTTAGAAATAACCTGTAAAACGTCGCTATATGCATCGTTTGTGCTTTTATGTAGCACTTGCGTGACAAAAATTGTGTTTCTGCTTTATGTATTACAAATAATAATAATTTTCATTGTTTTTCTTTAATTATACATATAAAAACATTCATTACTTTCATTCATTCTTCATATATTTTATCATTATGATACCTTAAATTTAAAATTATTTTTATTCGTTTACAAGAATAAATATACTCTTATTTGTTTACATTGTCATCTTTATACACTAATTCCTAAACGTACTTCATAGCATAATCATTTTTTAATTTATTTATTAAGATGCATTTATTTTGTAACACAAATTTATCAATTTTTTGTTTTTTATAAATATTAAAATAATATTTATAAATATTAAAATAATATATATTAAAATAATAATAATATGTTATTATATAATTATATATTATTTAATCATTCTAAAGAATACTCCTATTATTTTGAGAAAAGTCACGTCAAAAGACGTGAAAATTAAATAATAATATTACTCTTAAAATATGTGTCTGTGATATAAGAAGTGATAATAATTTCATTAACCGTATTATCATTATAAAATTATCATAAAATATGTTATTGTTTATCTTCCGTATCGAACGGAACGTCTTTCAAACGTGACACTTTTTTTAAGCTTAAGTGCATTCTTAAAGATAGATATCAATAAATTCAATGTATAAATACTAACAGATTTGCAGTTATAGTCAGTAAAGTCACTTTGTTATAGTGTGTTAAAGTGCTTTAACGTATATTTCTATAGAAGAACAAATTAATAATGATTTTTAATCCAATTAATGTCAAGTTTTTCATAAGTTCGATATATCTTATGGAAACGCCAATAATTGAAACAAAAATTGAATTGAAAGAAAACATCCAAAAATTATTATTAGACAGTATTTTTTATTACAATAGATTGGAAATAACAGAAGAAATGTCTCGATTTCCAAGAACATTATAAATTACGTACTTTTGAAATAATTGAGGATGATGAGAAAGCATGGAGCGAAGATAATTGAAATACTTATGAATGTTTGAGTGATAATGTGCACTTTGATAGTTCTTATAAAAGGCAAGTTGTTGGATATTGGAAACACTAACAATGAAGATAATGTAAATGATAAAAAGAGAAATCGCTCTTTAAAATCCGTACAGCATAAATTTAGAAGAATATCATCCGAAGATTGAGACGATGGGAAGAACAATTACAATCATATAGAAATCGTATGGGAAAATTATCCTACATTTCAATTACAATTTACACATAATAAATTTACCACAGCTGTTCAATCAGACCATATAATTCATGATGTTGATTTAAAAAGGTAGGCTCTACAGACTCAACAAGAAATAAGAAATTTAAATCCTATGTTTAAAGCATCTGATAGTTGGATAGCAAGATTCAAAAAGTCATATCGAATTGTTTCAAGAAAAATTACAAAGTTTGTCACTAGAAAAACATTGGAAGATTCAGTTGATTTGCAAAAAAATAATCGAAGATTTTTTAAAAACAGTGAAATCTCTTGAATAATTTGGATCTGAAAATATTTATAATTCAATCAAAGTGGATTTCACAAAGTAGTTAGAAATCCATTCCGGAAGATCACTATCTGATCAAGGAATAAAGACAGTAGAGCGTGTTGTACAATCTGTATTATCGACCATCCATTCATACACGATACAACCAATAATATCATGTGATAGTAGATTGCTATCCTCTTTATTTATATTACAAAAAGCTAATGGTATGTTTGGGCCAAGAGTGGAAGAAAATTTGTTCAGATCAATAATGTTATTGTGAAAGCATCAAAATCTGATAAAATGACAGCAGATATATACAAATTTCAATTATATCTTTTATAATTATTTTAGCAATCTAATAAGGTTAATGTTATTAATTTAAATTATTATTTCGTACAGATCATTTTAAATCTTGATTACAAGAAGCTTTCTTTCCAAATGTTGATACTGATAGTGTTCTTCTTATTGATTCTTGGACATTGTCCCGATATTATTTCTGATTTAACATCAGCAAAAAAAATGCATTAATACAATAATAATTCCAAAAGATATTA